GTTGAGTATTGGAGGACGAAGTTTTAAAAGTTACAGGCAAAACTTGAATGTTGATGCATGAAGTTGAGTATTGGAGGACGAAGTTTTAAAAGTTACAGGCAAAACTTGAATGTTGATGCATGAAGTTGAATGTTTCATGTCAACATTGAATTTTGGCGGGATTGGAACGCCATAAGCATGGTCAAAGGACAAGCTCATCTCTGTGAATTGCTCATGAAAACGGCAAGTTAACAGGAAAATTTATCCAGTTGTAATACATTAAAAATTGTTTCCGAATTACAAAATCGCTCTGTGCTCTTTTTTTAAGGAACCTTTTTCAACAATTTTACTCTGCACTCAATACACTGCAATTTTGTACTTTTTCAGCAAACTTGAACCGTGTTTTTTTCGTATTTTGACTTAGTATTGATCACAAACTATTTGTGATTAAAGTTGGAAATTTTATTTCATGTTAATTTAGCGAAGTCCTTGGGGAGGTTTTGTAGGTTAAGTAGATGTGCACAGTGTGATTATGCTACAGGTCAGAACAATACATTTCTCAGGAGATAAAGACTCATTATATTATTTCCACTGAATTAAGCTGCTACCAGAATATAATTATACATGCTGCAAGAGGTTTAGGTGTGAYATACAAATGTATTGGGAAGTGTGAAAAAGATGATCATGTTGTAGTTTTTCAGCCATTAACCTGATCAAATTCAGGACTCAACAAACCCAAATGTTAGGTTTTGTAGATAAAGTAAAACTGGAGAACCCAGAGAAAAACCCTCATATCAAGGGAGAGACATAACAAACTCTACTCACATGTGATGCAGAGTCTGCAGAATCAATCCTGAGACCCCAGAGGTGAGTGTACTACTACTATATGCTACCCATGATTCCCGAGAGCCCTATATTTTCCTGGCAATCTCACACAGCATACTAGAGTATAAACAACATTCTCTGTACCTTTTCTTTTCTCCTGTACATTAAGGTAGCCTTGTCCTGTGTGTGCTCCTTGATGGTAAAGTTCCCCTCTCTTTGCTTTCTTTAATTATTGATGAAACATAAGAATAATATAAATTTAACTTATAGCTACAATAGTCTCCTTCACAGTTCCCTGCGCCATCTTGAAAAGTAGTCGTGCTTTGCCTCAAAGCAAGATGAATGGTGAGCTTGCAATGATAGAGACCTTTGAATAATTGTCCAAGGTGTTAAAAGAGGTCTCTATCACACCAGGCTCAACCTTCACTTTGCTTCCATGCAAAGGCACAGCTACCTTTCAAGATGGCACAGGGAACTGTGAAGGGGACTATTATTTTCTCTTACTTGCCATAATAATAAGATTAACAACACACCTAAGATTATCATATCTTAGTTACCATATTCAAAATCTCTAGATCTTAGACATGGAATTTAGAAATAACTATTATCCACCAATCCTACAGTATTACTGAGCAGGGATTCTCTTAAACTTAGTGGTGTGTACTTTGTTCTCTTAAACTTACCTGTTGTACTTTGTTCATCAGTGTTTCAGCCTGTTCCTTGGTCGCACTAAATCTGTCCCTAGTCTGCAAAACACAATGAATAACACAACTATCATCATTTAACAGGGATATAGGAGCATATTTTTTACCAGGGGGCTAAAATGAAAATAAGGTTGCATCAAAAAAAAATAGAAAGCATGCACCTTCTGGTATGGGTTTAAAATTGTGAGTATTTTAGCATTATTACAAACAATAAATTTCAAAAATCATTTTTCAAAAAGTGGAGTGAGCTATATAGCCCCCTAGCTTCCTTGGCTCCTAAACGTCACCAATGCTTTTCTATGGAACAAATGCTTTAAAAACTACATCTTTTATACTTACATTTTGAAGCCTTAATTGCAAATCTGTCATGTATCCCTCCTTATCTATATAGTAGACTTCATAGCCTGTTAACATTGTCAACAAAAAATATAACTTAACACTAACATACACTACAATCCCCCAAAAAAGTAATAAAAATAACAAACTGATTAGAATAAATTACAATGCAAGTGAGTATTGTAATGTATGCTTATTATGCAAAAAGGATTAAGACATTAATGATTAAATGGGTGTAGTATTAGTTAGAAGAGGATTTCGTAAGTTGTGACTTACCAGTGTGAAAAAAAGTCTTTTGTGCATACATATAAGATAATAGCTGCAAAAAAAAACATTACTTTGGTTCAATAATCTTGAAGAATATAATAGTAAATGAACTTTCTTTTGGAGGTGACACTTGAAAGAACCAAATGATATCGTTGTGGCTCAGTGTGTAACACCTCTAAATCAGAAGGGACTGGTATTTTATCTGGTCATCCAAGCCACGGCAAAGATCTAACCATTGGCAGATATCTTTTAAAGCAAAAGCAGGACCTTCTTCACACTAGTGTGCTCTTGTTGATAGAAGGATAGAAATCAAGATTTCATTGCTTTAAGATATAAAAATTGCATGTTAAAGTGTATATCAAGGAAAAAAATTTGTTTTCAAAATCACTTATATGTGAACAGTGTAGTAGTATGCTTGCAGTATTTTGTATGTGGTCGTCTCTTTTCAGAGATACAAACATTTGAAATATCAATATGCAAATGAGGTGACGTAAAATCCAGAATGTGTTATATTTTGAAGTGTAATTTACGACAAGTGTTCTGAAGTGAAATAACCTAAAAGTGTACAAAGCCATGTATTTCATTCATAAGGATAATTTACAAATGAAAAAACAGCAGTACTTTCCACAACAGCATTTTTGTATAATAAATTAGTCTTGAATTTACGTCATCTCACTTGCATATTGATATTTTAAATGTTTATTTTTCCCAAAAGAAAATTTCACATACGAAAATACTGCAACCATACTACTACACCACTCACATATAAATGATTTTGGGAAAAAATGTTTTCCTTGATATACACTTTAACACTTTAAGTCTAGTGTATTCTTTAATTCAGATAGAGAACTGAAAATTTGATAAGAATTGAAAGAACTTACTGTTTCAACAAACTGGAACTTCTTCGTTTCATTAACTTCTTGTAGTTTAAAGACATAATCCAGAGCTGTCTGGTGGAATACACCCCGCTCATTTTCAAATTGTGTGTCTGCCTATCAGAGGATAAGAATAGTGTGAATGTCATGATCTAAGAATATTGGAGCCAATCAAACTGGGTCCTTGGTCAGATACCCAACAATGGGTAGTCAAGAGCTCATTTAACATCTACATGACCTTATAACCACAGGTATCCCACCCAACTGGGGAATGGTACAATACCTTTTTAGCAACAGGTACTAAGAGAATATGCAGGACCTCATAACCACAGGTATCCCACCCAACTGGGGAATGGTACAATACCTTTTTAGCAACAGGTACTAAGAGAATATGCATGACCTTATAAACCACAGGTATCCCATGGCCAATCAACTGGGGAATGTAAAACCAGAGAATATACAGGACCTCATAAGTATGATTATCCCATTCAACTGGGGAATGGTACACTTTTTAGCAACAGGTACTAAGAGAATAAAAAGGACCTCATAACCACAGGTATCCCATTCAACTGGTGAATGGAACACCTTTTAGCAAGAGAATATGCATGCCTTATAAACCACAGGTATCCTAGTCAACTGGGGAATGTAAAACCTTATAAACAGCAACAGGCACCAAGAAAATTACTCCCATCAACTGGGGAATGTAAGCCTTCAAAATATCAATACCTCTGTAAGCTGTGTTTCTTTTTTCTTTGACGACATGTTTAGATAAYTTTGAACAGTTAAACAAAATTTCTCAGTTTGCTTGTCAAACTTCTTTTTTTCTTCCTGTAAATGAAATCAGAGAGGTATACTTTGAATAAATAAAGAATATATCTTCAATAATATCTTCAATACTATCTTCATCACATAGGCCCCGTCCACACGTATCCGAAAATTTTTGTGTCCGGAAATTTTTTCTGCAGATACGGGTTGCGTCTGCAAATTTTTGTATCCGTATCCAGAAATTTTTGAAAACGGTCTCCAGAGTGGAAATTTTCAAATATGCTCCGAATACAGAGATGTGTGGACGGTCGTATGYGCAAATTTTCAAATACGATGACATAAACACGATTTTGAAAATCGCGAAAATCAAATGGACTAGGTTTGAAAACCTAGATTGAAAACGATTTGAAAACGATTCGAATACACTGTGTGTGGACACGAACATTTTCATATCTGCAAAAAAAAATTTCCGGATACAAAAATTTCCAGATATGTGGGGACAGGGTCTTACTATCAAAAAACTCATTAATAATTCATGAAGGAAACA